GCAGTGGCACAGGGCGATCCCTTTCCCTCCGCTTCCCTGCCCAGGAATGCTTCAGGGCCAACGGCATCAGCGGCCGCCGCCTCATCCACGCCAACTGCTCCAACCTGCCCGCCATGGGCGTCACGGACTTCGGGCACATGCAGGTGCAAAAGGGCCGCTCGCTTTTATTTCCTTCTATTACGCTTTGCTGGACACAAACAGGAGCTGTCTCTTCCTCATTTTATGAACATTTTTTCCTTTTAAACCTCTATATTTTCTTTAACATGATAGTTAAGGCTGAATTTCAGGGCTACAGTCTGGCCTTCCAAAGCTTCCTAAAAGTTCAGAAGAACAAAATTACTTAAGTTTCATTACCCCCTTTCCCTTCCCTAGTGGAAACCACAGAGGGACCACATTTACAGAGCCAAATCATCTGTTTTGCATCACAATTTGAAATGGCTTTCACCAGCAGACTCAGGTAGAAGTTCAAACCAAGAAGAAAGAAGAAGCTCTATGCTCCAGTGACTAGAGTATTAACACTGTTTCTTTTATCCTACAATACCAAAATGAAATTTCACCACAGTTCTGTCCGGCTGCACAATCTTAACAGTTTGTTTGAAACTAAATAATGCCACCAAAACCATTAACTAGTGCCATGACTGCCTGTTGTTTTGACAGAAAGGCATCAATTTAATATTAAGTTTTTCAGACAGCAAACCTTCACGAATATTTCTGGTACAAGCAGATAGAGACTACAGTCATTTGTGCTTTCCAAAAGAAAGAATTCTATATGCTTTGTAAGCCTCACCCTCATTATTGGGATATAGAGATGATGTATGGTTAGTTCAGCTGCTGAGTAAATACTAGGCCATGGGTTAGACATATCAGCTGTGACCCGTTCTTCCTCTGGTTGGAACTGAAATTCCTCTAGATAAGCAATATACAGCCAGGACACTGCCATAAGCTTAGAAGTGACACAGTCCAGTAATGCTTTCCAAGGCTTGCAGGTAAATTGGGAACATCTCACAGACTTCAGTGGAATCTATATGCTCTCAAAGGTCATGCCCTATCCTGCCAGTTATTTGTGTTTTAAAGAACTTTTTTCTGACAGAATCCAAGTATGCAGAGCTCTGCAGGATAGGGCCCTTTGGGTCTTTCAGGAAGTGTCTACTAGTGCAGGTGAAAAGTTAAAACTGCAATTTCCCAACAAGAAATACAAACTAAAGGCTGTGAGCAGTGGAAACTGATACAGTTGCTATAGAAATAAGAGTGATAGCATCAGCTCAGTGAGATGGGAATGTTTGCAGTTTAGGGGAAATGGCAGTTTGGTAGAGAACTACACAGCTAATTATGTGGAAGCTATGCAGCATGGACATTACTGCTGATTTTAATCCCACTGTAATGGTATTCTAAATATCAAAAGCATTCAAGATAAAGTCTGGTGTTCTTTTGTTATCACAAAAAGTATTCAGAGTCAAGCTAAAGTTGGGGGAGGGTTTTGAGCAAATACTGTGAATGATCAGTAAAACCTTGCAAATGGTATTTTGAAGCTTCAGTCAAATTAGTTAAATTCTCAGAAGTTGATTCAAAACCATGGTAAGGCTCTGCTCACTCACAATTCCAGGTCCAGCCATCTCAAACAACCATACACTCATCATTTTCTAAATGAACAATATGATTTTTCACTAATTATTTTTCACACTTTTGCATAGATTGTAATTTGCATTACAATTTAACAACCAGCAATGATTTTGCATTAAGCAGAAGAGACTGCAGTTCATTTATCAATAACTTGTTTGTCCTTGAAGTGCAAGGTGGAAAGCAGAGCTATATTTATGCCACCAGGAGACCAGATGTGATGCCATCCCTGACAGTAAACCTGGAGAGAAGGTGATATGCGCTGCTTTAACAGAGTCACATGGATTCAGATCCCCCTTATGTTGCAACTTCAAGCACGAAACTGTACCAAAATTCAGAATATCACTGTTTTTTCCTGCTGCTCTGACATGGAATGGATAGTTTTAGCTGTCGCCCTATTGTCTTGGTTTAAGAAACACGAGAATTGCTGATGTTTTGTCTTGTATTTCAGGAAATTTCGCGACACGTGCGAGAGCTGCTGGGGATTGAGGAGCCTCTCTTCATCAGATCCATTACCCTCCCATACAGAGACAATATGGGTCTGTTCCTGGAGAGAAAGGCACCAACAGGAAAGAAAGCAGATGCCCTCACTTTCTCACAGTTTATCCAAAAAGCAGGACTGGAGCCCTATACTACAACTCCTCCTTTGCAAGGATCCCAGGCCATGGAGGGAGTGGGTGCTCTCCCTGCATCGCAGGACATGCAGAGGCAGAATTAGAGACTCATACTGCACTTTTGCCTTTGTAAGAAGCCCAGCAGCCACAGCAGACTGTACCCTTATTTCCTTGCAGATTGTTCAAGGGGGTACAGTTCCACATTTTCACAATTACAAAAAATTGTGCACTGCACTGCCACTGCAGCTCTTAGACATTTTATTACACCAAACCCATTCCCACATTGTCTTTTTCCTGCAATACTTCATTTGCGTGCAGGAACTAGTGAAATGGAGGCTGTGGATCAGACTGTACCATTGTCTGTCTTTTACTTCTGCTTCACAGTTGATTTAAAAATACCAAAAAAACCCCAATCATAGACATATTTTAGGCACAAGTGATTGATAAGAATTTCCCAGATGCTCAAGTGCATAGATTTCTCCCAGGCTTCAGGGTCTGCAGACGGGGCTTGCTCTGAAACCCAGATGTAAGATAAATGGCATAGACAATAACTGTGTACAGGTGTGCAGACAGCTGCTCTCAGCAATCAGAATTAAGCAAGGGGTCTAGGTGCAACATGCATAACTAATCCTTGGCCACAGAAATTATTTCCTGTGACGCAAAACCAGGTAGGCAATGTTTTATCATGGTAAACAGTACTGTAACACATGATAGATGGGGCAGAAAATACAAAAGAATACTGAACTACAGAATTTAGGGAATAAAAATTGCTGTGTCCTGGGTGGATTTGGACAGAGTATCCAGTTACCTGCTTTTTCCCTGAAGGATACATCATATAGTCTGTGGTGATGAGGGTGGGGAGCATCATCACCAGCAGGGAAGTAGAAGGGCTCATGAAGGCCTGGCTCAACAGAAAGAGCATTCCTGACTAAATCATTAGTATGTTGTCAGGATTCAATGGCTTTCTCAAGATCCCTCATGGGGAATAAAAAAATAATAATAAAAAAACCACTGGGCCTGATCCTCTTTAGTTTTTTACACCAAAGCTGCAGCCAGTACAAAATAACCATAATTTGGTTTTGTAATTCAGTTCTGTATTGAAGCTGCAATAGAAACACAGTGAAACTGAAGCAGTTCATAGGCCAAGAAGATTATGTAATAAGTAAATTCAGACAAAAAAAACCCCACAAAACAAAACAAACAAAAAAACCTCTCAGGTAACCAGGGATAAGCAAGTTTGCTGAACAGTGTAGAGACTGAAACTCATAGAAGAAAATGTGTGCATAAGGTTATTGGCTGGAAGAGTTTGGAATCTGAGAGTTAACAGTGCTGGTTCTTGCACTGCTTAGTCCCATGAAGAGACTGGGATGAGATCTCAGCAAAGCATTCCTCATGGGCGTCATTAAGGTTTGTGTAGATTTAGAATCATACTCAGAATTTCTGAGAAACTGTTGGAAGCAGCTGTGGACAATGGAGACTTGTCATCCAGTACCATACCAGGCTCCACTGCAGCTGAAGTGAGAGATGTCTTTGGTGCTGAGCCCACACTGCTTTGTAGGACAGTCTCCAGAGGGTGCCTGGTACAGTAGAGCACCAGGCATCAGATGGCACCAGACAAACTCTCTTTTCTAGCAGCTGCCTAAAGAGATACTTTCTCAGTGACACAGCTGTCAGGACAAACCAGGGGAAGGTTCTGAGAAGGGAAAACAAGTGGAAACATTTATTGGCAACAACTGTCCAAAGCAGCTTGCTAATAATGTAACTAGCAGTGGTTTTCTTCATTGTCTGACTACAAGACTCCTCCTTGGGTCTTTGAGAAACCATCAGAGACTTGAACATAAAATGTTGAAGAATGGCTCTGGAATAGTCCTGCAAAAGCAGGAATCCTTTCCCTCAAGCAGCCTTCCCCTGTCTTAACGTCCTCAGTAGCCCAGTTCATTAACTGTCATAAGATCATTACACCCAAAAACTGTCTTCTCTAGACATTCCCATAGGAATTTTTTTTTTTTTTTTTTTGCATTCAATGCCCTAGTCTTGATCAGTTGCTTCAAACAACCCTGATAAATAGGATCTACGGACAAAATAACTCAGTCCAGGTCTTCTGTTGCAAATACATCATCTAAGGCAATTCCTGGGGCAGAGATGTAGTCCTAAGGACAACATGAGTTCAGCACCTTCCAACCCAACAAGGCAGCCCATGCTTTCTGTGAGATGGGGCAAGCTGCAAAGCAGAGACAAGAAGTACCTCAGTTTTCAACTGTCTTTCTCCTCTTGAGTAATTGAAGAGGCAAAATCTTTGCTGACAAAACTCTTGCACACAAAGCTAGGCAAGAAGGTTTTTGCTCTGCACAGATGAGGCAGCATTCAAGAAAGCTGAGGTCATTTGTTCATTTCAATGCCTTCTGGTGAGGCAGATTCTGCCACATGACACTGTTCAGGCCTGCATAAAAAAATGGCCACCATCTATTCATGGAGTTTTATTTTCCTTGCAGGATGAACAAAAATCAAGTATCAATTACCTGTGTGCACAGAGATGTGAAGAGATATTCTCATCTCACACTGCTGGGAGGAATCACACTGACAACCAGACCTGTTTGGTTTGAAACCTCTGATCTAGAACCATTTTAGGTGAGGTATTTTAAAATTAACAGTAACAAGTCTAATATGGCTTGTATTTTATGTAGCTGATACTAATTGAGTAACCAGTATTCCTTGACAGGCTGCATATAAAGTCATATAACCGTTCTGCCATGAGGGCAAGGTGAGCACCAGGGGTGCTTCAGGTGCTCTCAACAACTGCACTAATTACAGGATGGTTGATTTTTCAGGGCCCCTTTTATAGAAACAATGGGTTTGAGTTCCATCCAGTGGTAAAACCCAGAAATTGCAGGATTGAGTCCTGCAGTAAATTCTGTAGTGAAACTGCATGGTGAAAGGTGCACTGTGAATTTTTTTAGGCCACGTGTAAGTTAGTAAGTTAGCAGCTTTTATGGTGGAGTTTGCTCAGATGCTTTGAGTTCTTTTCACTCGAAGGGAGTTGTATGAGTTCACTGCAGTATGTGAATATTTTGTGTGTTGAGTATTGAGTCTGCCATAAAAAAAAAAAACTGACATAAGGCCACCCATGACATAAAGCTTGTTTACGCAAAAATTGGTTTTGATAAATGTATAAATACATAAAAAATCTTATACAGGAGGTGCAGTTGGAATGATTTTCACTGCACATCCTGGCCAGAATAAAGTAATGCAACTCACTGCCACCTCAAAGATAGGGTCAGAGTTTAATATCTTCCTGAGTTTGGTGACAGTTTCAGGCCCAGGCTCTGAAATGACATGGTCAATTTTTCTTGAGGGGAGGGATGGAGGTGTCAAGGCTTACACAGTGACAGGACAAATGGTAGCATGTGTGACAGGAGGCAGCAGAGGAACACAATGTCCTCCCAGACCACCAGCTCAGCATTGTTATAAATGCATGTAAAGCTCTGCTTCTGCAGGGCTATTGCACTAAGGTGAAAGGGACTCAAAAGCTCAGAGAGAAAGCAGAGCTATGAACCAGCACACCTCTAGGCACCAGAACACATTTACCTGCACTCTGCCACATGCAGGTGAAACACAAACCACTGCTACCAGACTGGTAGCAGTCTGCCTGCCCAAAGTGGCACAGAGGGACTTTGGTGGCTGCCTGTCACTGGTCTTATATAGCAAAGGGTAACAGCAGAGTGACACAAAGGAACAAATATGCAAAGAACTCAGCTGCTTGGCCCAGTCCTTGCAGGCTGATTTAAGTCTTTAGCTGAAACAGCTGAGCCTTGGGAATCTGGCTAGTTTTCAAGACCTATAAAAAGCTATGTAATAAACCCTGTTTCGTCTCTTCCCTGAGATGATTAGAAAGAGGATTTTATTCCAACATCTCCCTGGAGGACCATTCTCCCTATTTGTCTTATCTAAGTTTATGGGGCTATATGACTTTATATGCAGCCTGTAGACTACATCTGTTTACTCAATTACTATGAGCTACATAAAATACAAGCTGTATTAGACTTGTTACTATTAACTTTAGCATCCCTCAGCTAAAATGGCCCTAGATCAAGGGCAGTCTTATCAATTTGTCCAAGTATGTGATGACAGGGAGTAAAGAAAGGGACCCAGACTCTCTTCAGTGGTGCTCAGTGATGACAAGGAGCACTGGACACAAACTGAAATGTGCTGGTCCATCTGAAGACACAAACTCACCTCTTACTGTGAGTATTGCCAAATTCAGAACAGGTTTTCCAGAGAAGCTGAGTTGATACTGAAAACCCACACAGCTACGGTCCTGGTCTGCCTGTTCCAGGTGATCCTGCTAAAGCACGAGTAGACTAAATGATCAAGAGGGTCCCTTCCAACCTAAATGATTCTGTTAGAAAAAAAAACAAACACCAACAGAGAAAAAAAAAAAAGACAGTTCATAGTGCATCAGGGAGGCGGGAATCCAAATCTACTGTCTTTGTGTGACCCTCTGTGGCAGCAAACTCTCCTACAAACTCTAAAATTAAATCATCTGTGCTGATAGCACTGAAGGTGTTAAATAAGGTAGTGCTGCAAGCAATGTCACTCCATTGTGACATGCACTGTGCTTTTCAGAATATTAAAAAACATCCTACAACTCCTTTTGTGGGAGGTGATAAATTGCTCAGGATTAACACACAAGAGTGACAATGTGCTTAGTGGGGAAAGGAAAGAAACAGGCCAAGGAGAAAGAGACAACTTTATTTACAGAATTGAAGTGAGGTCTGAAAGGATGAAGCCAGCAGCTGCCTGAGGAGTTGTGTTTCTGAGAAAGTGCATTTCAATCCTTCCTGGCATAACACTTTCTGAGAAAAGAGCTGCTGGGGCAGCAGGTTTGTGTCAACTGAGAGAGCTTCCTACTTGCTCTCCATCCAACCCATACGGACTCTGACCACCTCTACACTAGGTATCTCCCTGATAAAGGGATCTTCCAAATGCTGCAGAGTGCTAGCAGAAGGATACTGGCAGAGGTTGCTGTCCTGGCTCTCTGCATGAGTTCACACACTTCTTTTCCTAGAGTGAGCCAGAATTAAAAAAAGAAAAAAAAAATGCAAGTGGTCCATTGCCTCCCAGCACTTTCACATAGGGAGAACATGGTCCAGGGTAGGTTTTACTCCAGACACAGCCATGATTAGTGATGCCCAAGCCAGCTTGACTGTTACAGGGACTGATCAGCACTCTCTGTTGGAGAGAGTCACAAATGTGACTGACATGCTCCTCTTGCAAGAACAAGCCAGGCACCACCCAGAGCAAACATTCATATTGCTGTCCCAGCAACTTCCTTCCATACACACAAGTGATGCCTGGCTTACAGCCAGGTCAAATACAATCAGATTCCAAAAAGAATCAACCCTGCTGGATCTATACCATGGTTTTGCCAGCCACAGTTTAGTAGCTGTCTTCAACCACCCGGAGCGCCACGGTCCCACTGGGCACGGGCACCCACTGTCACCGACGAACGCTGATCATGCAATGAGTAGTAACAGAGCTGCTCTCTTGGCTCTGGACTGGGTTCTGCAGTTCCCTCTTTCAGTGACAAGGTGATGGCCAAACAGGCTGTTCCACAGGTGTTCAGTTCTTCCACCGGATTTGCTAGAAGAGGGAACAAGACACAACTAACAGCAATGCTGAACACCGAGCCCTAGGAGCCAACTCAGTGACTCCCAATTCCTGACAAGGACAGCTACAGCCAGAGTGTGCCATTTCTATCAGTATAACCATTCATTCCTACCCTGAATGCAAACAAAAGTTTAGCTTCCCAGCAGGGATAGAAAGTACATAGGACAGCCATGCCCCTACACCTAATCTTTACCTGTTTCTGGTGAGAGTGTCTGGAACAAAGAGTAAGCATTTCTTACTGTGTTGCTGAGAATGCTGTTTATCTTCTCTTCCTCTGCAGAGCCCCGCTCCACCTTGCCTTTATATGCTGTCAGCTGGATACGATCCTTTAGATCCCGGTAGGTCTAGATAAAGGGCAAAACCAGCACCCAGCTGAGAGAAAGGGACACTTCAGTGGTTACACGGTGTCCTGCAGATGGACAGGGCAACTCTACAATCCCCCATGCAGTTCCCAACACAGAAGAATTTCACAGCACAAATGCTAGGAGCCACTCTCCTGGCTCATGGACTTCTACTGGGAACCTTATCATTTTTCCCAGGCCACAGGGATAAACAAACACCACCAGGCACGTGACAGAAGTGCCACATGACAGAGAACAGAAAAGCTAGAGAGACAAAGCAGGCCTGTGTCCCAACTCTTCACACAGCAGCAACCTACCTCTATGACAACATCATGGCACTTGTATTTGGTAGCGAGGTTCAGCCGGGTCTCTACATCTTCCACCAGGCGCACGTATTCCTGCAGCACCTGTGAGAGACAGAAGAGTGTCTCAGCTCCCTTCTGCAGGTATGTCCTGCCTCATTCCCTCACCCCAGTCCCAAAACCTTCCAAGGTTGCTAGTCACACAGAGTTGGCCCCTTCTTTAGGGAACAAGTGACCTCAAGAGCTTTGGCTGCAAAAAATTTTCTCCCTACAGTGTCAAGCAGCATCTCTGTATTCTTCTCATGTCATTTGACCTTGCTTCTACACCTTCCTTTTTTGTCTTATTTCCAAGAGAATATTCCTGTTCAGTCAAGCTGGCCTTCTGCCTTGCCTGCCTGACTTCCAACATTTGGGAATTGCCTGCTATGTACCCTTAGAAGGTCATATTTAAAAACTGACTGATGGACCCCACTGCCTGCAAAAACATTTTCCCAGGGGACCTTACCATTTCCCTGAGTAGCCTGAAGTCTGTTCTCCTCATGTCCAGACCTGAGGTTTTGCTGGCACTTTTCCTCCTATCAACAGAATGTTAGGCTACCTCATTGCTACGGATCAGGTTAACCATTGCCAGCCAGATTAAGAAAGAGAAAATTTAATGTAGCAAAGAAAGGTGGCAATGCACATGGGAAGAGAGTTCCCAGCCAACTTTGGCCAGCTGCCCCTCTTGTAGTCAGAGCTAGGACCCAGCCCTCAATACCACCCACACCTTCTGTTGAGGCACAGGTCACAAAGCTGTGTGCTGCACCGACCTGGCAAAGCCAAAAGATCAGCAAGCTTCTCCCACTTCCAGCTAGGAAGCAGCTCACCTGAGGAGTCATTCCTACACCAAATCCCAACAAAAAGCAGGTCATTAGCAGGGGTTCCTGCCTCACCTGCACTGGAGCATTGTTCCTCTGCAAGATCTCCACCACCCGGTGGAAGCCAATAGGTGCCTTCTTCTTGGTGTAACCCAGCCAGTTCTGAAATGAACCAAACCTATGTTAACCCAAAAGGATAATCCTTCCAGGCACAAGAAAATTAGGTTTTTTTTCTCCCAGTGCCAGCACCATACTCCACAGCCATCACATGCACCCCACTGCAGAGCCCTTCAGGCAGTGGCTGGGCACAGGCTGGCTGCAATCCCTTTGGTAGCAGAGCTCAGGGGCAGCCCCCTTCTCTGACCTTACTGCTGCAGCCAAGCCAGGCCAAGCAGAGGTCTCAGCTAGGGAGAGGAGGAAAGTACTGCAACACTCTGCAGCAGAGGTGCTGGGCCCTGCTGAAATAAAACCAGTCTGTCCAGTAACTCCAGAACAAGCCAGCTATCAGTAGCAGATGCCAGAACTTGGGACTGTGTCCCCAGCAAGGCTTTCTGCAGCTCACCTTGGTGGTGAGGAGGGCATCCACATCACCCCAGGCCCGCAGCTTGGCACGGGCTGCCAGGGCAGTCAGCACATACTGCTTATCAGGAATCTGCAAGGCAGAAAGCTGCAGTCAGAACAATAGCACAGCTCAGGTCTTTGTGGGCTGGACATGAATGGCATCTGCCCCAGCTCTGTCAGGACCTACACCAACACCCAGGCAAAGAGGCAAGGTGCTGCCTGATGCCATACACAGCACTGCAGAGACTAGGGAGTGGGGATTTGCAAGTGCTGCTGCAGCCAGGGTACATCCATTGAAATTCTCCACATGGCTCCCAATTGCCTTTCTAAGACTCCAGAAGGGCCCTGCTCAAAAAGGATGCCATGGCCTCCTCCCTAGCTCAGTGCTGAGCCCCTCAGATTCCTCCTACTGAGCTCCTTCATTACATACAGTTTGTCTGTGCATGTTTTCAGCTAGTGCTTCCACAACAGGGGAGATTCACGCACCTTAAATGTCTTCTTCAGGTTGGTGGGGCTGCTGAACATTCCCTAGAGAAAGCAGACAAGTCAGTGCAAACTCAGAAGGGCAGGCCACAGCAGGGGTTCAGACACCTGTTATAAGGCATCTGCCTCGCACAGAGTCAATCTTCTCAAGATTTTACTGCTTTTTGTTCATGTCAGTGCCACAGGAGGAAGCAGCTGGTAGAAGAGAGCAACTATCCCACCCCATTAGCTATCTGGTCTGGTTTTCCTGCATCCTCAACTGGTGCATCACCAGTACCACGCAGCTCAGCCTCATGGGATTTACAGTGGTTTCTAGCAGGCAACTCGCTGACAAATGGTGCCAGGTTGAATGTCTTGGAGCACAAAGCCCCAAACTGGTGCCAGGGAACAAAGTCTCTCTGAGGGATGAAATATGACCTCTCTTTTCCTTTTTCTCCTTAATATACCACAGCTTGACCACCTCACATCTCGAGGGTTACAAGGAGAGATGCAACCTTATCTTCTGCCACGTCCTCACCTCAGCTTCTGTGTAGTGGTAGAAACAGGAATAGAAGAGGGTGGTCACTAGTGGCATGTTGAGAATCGAAGCCTTGCGAGGATATTTCCGAAACAGCTCTGACTGCCCAGCCATCTCCAAGTGCCGATCATTAGCCTGCAGAATCAGCAAGACAGACAGGGAACATGAGCCAAGATAACTGCCTGTATAGCTGTGGGATAGAGACCTAGAGACCATTGTGACAGCAGTGTGCAAGCACAGCCCCAACATGCTATCAAGTCTCAGATCTGGTATTTCACATGTGCCTGGCACAGCAGCCTGAACAGCAATTACAAATACACTAGCCAGGGCAGGCTGGTTAAATCCAAAGTGGTGTAAGTCAGGGACAGCAAGAGATCTCACAGGTAGTCCCAGCCACCTCCTGACCAGCAGAGAAGATTTCATACCTCAATGATGATCTGTCGCTCCAACAGGGTATAATGGTCTTGGATGTGGGAGGTATCCTCAGCTGAAAATGGCAGCCTGGCCAGACACGAAGGAAAGAGACACTGTGACAAGCTCTGAAGTACAGAATCCTTCATTTACTTCTAACTACTCTTGGAAGAATTTTTTTCTACCAAACAAGCTCCCATTCTTCCCATCTTGAATGGCTACTCAAGTTCCTGACCCACTGCCCCCTCCAACTGGCTCTCTCTTAGACAGGCTCCAGAGAAAGAAACATTATGTACCTTTCACAGAATAACCTAAAGTGGATGCTACCAACTTCCTCAAGTGCTCAGGCACCCAGACTTTCATCCATCACAATCTGAAGGGTCAATGATCAGAGAGTCCCTTAAAGCATCTTTCTTCCTGAATTACCAGCAAAAGCTGCTGGACTAGTGATGACCACAAATGATTCCTCTCTGGTCTACACTGTACCCACAACACTACTCCCACTCCCCCACTAAGGGAAAACCAACATCAGCTCTCAACCCCCACAAGCCATGGCACTGGCACAGAGGCCTAATTTTCTTCATTACCACCTTCTGTGAAGAATCCACATCCCTCCCCTACTTTTGCATTTTTTCTTACCCAATGCAACCTTTCAGAAATTCCCTCCTTTTTTCTACATCCTGGATGTTCAAATGCTCCCGGTACTGAGACAGCTGGAGGGAGAGGGGAAAGAAGCAGTGTGTTCTCATGGATTTGGGAGATACAGTATTTCCAGAGTGTGAAATGGGGGCAAAAAGCTGACTCCCACACACTCTGCAACCAGCCTACCACCCTGCAGTAAGGAGATTGAGTAGGCTGGCAGGCTTATGCTCCTGGGAATACTCACAGCAACTTCCTCAGTCCTGTCTAAGAACCTGCAAAAGGGAATTGGAAGCATTAACCTGGAGGCAGGTTCCTAGCAGTGTGTTCAGCCTGTCACAGGATGGATCAACAGCCTCACCTGAGCAGATCCAGAAGGAACTTCTGCTCCCCTGTCTCTCTGAGGAAATGGATCAGATGGCACAAGGCCACCTGCCGCACCTCCAGCTCCCGAAACAGGATCTCTGCAGGGGAGAGAGTTTATGTACAGATGGGTAAGGTAAGATAGCACTACCAAGCACAGGGGACTTAGCACAGTGCAGGGAGCCATTGGCAGGATTCATCAACTTTATCCCATCTCAAATCACAGTGTTGGAGGCTGGAGCACAGAAGAGCCCAATCACTGGGCTGACAGCAAAATTCACAGCCAAGTGCTACCTCTAGAGATTAGTTTTCATTCATCCCATCACCACCACCCACCACTGCTTAAAGCTCCTCTCTGGAGCCCTTGTAGGCTTCACCATCCCCACTGCCTCCTACATTACACTTGCTACAAAAATATTTCATGCTTAGTAAAAAAGCAATATCCAGATGCTCTCTTTGTAACTTGTACCCTGTGAAGAAATCACTCCCTCCATCCTTCACTGAAACACACTACAGAAATCCCAGCCCCAGCCATGCTCACCTCTCCTCAGCGTCCGTTTCAGGAATATCAGGACCTGTGAGCACAGCCAGACAGGTCAGAATTAAGACAGACAAACAAACAGCACACTGGTCAAGGCCTAGAGAAGTTTTTGCAAAGGGCCTCTGAAAACTCAGCTCTTATAGCACTGAACTTAATTCTGGTACCCACAACACCCAGGACAAGCAGTGAGCCTGGGCCACAGCTGCCTAGATTCTTGCCTAAGCTCCTGCTCTGGAGTTTAGATAAATGAGACCAAAATTTACAAAGGAAAATCTTTCCATGCAAAATACAAAGGAATTAAAAGACCCAGATGAAGTAAGCTCTAACACAATCCCATTTCCTCTCTGATATTTTAAAAGCCAGAAAAACTGGTGAGGCCCCAGATCCCAAATGCCAGGTCCCAGATTTTCTGAGATGAAATGAGCAGATTAAACCTTGACTTTCAAGAAGTAGGTGCAAAAATCTGTAAGGCTGATGGATCAGAGTCCTTGTTATTAGCATCAATTCTGCCGAGTGGCAGGAAAGACAGCAGGAATACAGATTTTCCCAGTCTTTAGCTTTGACACTTCTAGTAACTGTTTGAGCTAAAGAACACCCCCCAGCCCTGCAAGAGCAGGTGGCCAGCTGACTGCATTCTCACAAGCACTCTCTGTGGGGCCACCCACAAGCCCCAGCCCTGCGCAGCCCCAGCAGGACTCACAGCTGTAATGACATTCCCATCATGCCCTGCCACAGCTTCATCCAAGAGCACCAGCTTGTCCTGCAGGGAGCGAAATCTCTCTAGAGAGCAGACCTAGAGACAGAACAGGAAGAAGAAGGCATGTGGGACATGAGACAATCCTCAGGCTGAATCCAAGCTATTATTCATTCCTCTCCCATAAGCCCTTCAGCAACATGAATAACTGCCCTCCCAATGAGTGGAGAAATTCTCATTTAGCTGAAACCACATGCCACACATAATCCCTGGAAATCTGTCCACAGGGGTTGCAGTCAAGCCTCATTACTGCCCAGTCTAGGACAGCAGACAATGTACATTCAGCACAAACACCCTTGTAACAAGACAAAACTTTCCTGTACACCACAAACCACTAGCCCTGACAAGAGGAGGGAACTCTACAAGCCCCTTTCCACAAAGGGCACCAGATAAGTAGAGTCATAACTCTTTCTCCCATCTTCTTACCCCACATCTGTGGCCTCTCTCAGCCTTTAGCTCTCCTCAGCCTTTGAGAAGATATATGCAGAGTGAAACCACAATCTCCCTATGTGTTCACTGCACACTGAGGCAGCTGAGACTACGATTACAGCTCCAGTGAAACCATTTCTGTCTTCCTCTCTCCATTTGCCACCAAGTGAGAATGGAGATAAAGCCCCACCCTCTCAGATTTTTAAAATAAACCCAGCCCCAGGGAGCAGAAGGGGTAGAAAGGGACACAGCAGTACAGATACCTACTGTCAGAGCCATGCTGAGGGGACAACTCAAGTTAACAAAGCAACAAAACCCTGAAGTTCTCCTGCTGCTCCTGAGCTACTGTGATCCCAGCACTGCCACCTGGCAAAGTAACACACAGGCAGAGCACCATCCCTGCTAGGTGCTGCAAGCAACACAGATCCCCTCCTTGCTCCCAGAATAGCCAGGAGCACAGCAAAGTGCAAAGCATTTTGGGACCATCCACCCTCCATCCCTTACAAGCAGGTGGGAGTGCAAAGTCCTTACCTTGCCCCTCTGCATTCTCCTGACTGTATCTTTGGGGCTCCAGTCACCACTGTAATCCTGCCACAAGAGAAATAAAGCACTCTTAAGCCCCAGATCATTTCAGCAATCTCCAAGCTGCTTTCCACTTCTGCTGCATCAGTGCTGGCCTACATGTAGCTACTCACACTGATCATTCAGCTGCTCCAGGAGAGGTGTTAGTAGGATGTATATGTACATTTTTCAGGTGCAAATGTTGAGCCCTCAGACTCTGCATGTGCTGGTGTGGAGGGAAGCTAAAGGCCCATATGTTAACACAGCATTTCTAGTGCCTCAGTAAGGTCTGTCATCATATCCTTTATAAGTAGTGCATTGCATCAGGTTGTTTCCTTGCAAACTATGTTGCTTTTAGGACAAACAAAATACATGCAAAACAGACTAACCCAAAACTGAAGGGCAAAGAGTCAGTTTCTTGTTACAATTCAGACAGACTTCTGCTGGTGAGCTTTCCACAGCAGCGTGGAGAACAGGGACAACAGCCTCAGGCAAGCACCTGGGGAGTTGCACAAGACAAGGACAGCGTGACAAGGGCATTGAAGCCTGGAGGAGGATCACCTTAAGGTCACATGCTACCACTGCTGCAACGACCAGAATTTTGCCCCTGCAGCAGGGAGACACTATGATCTGAAGCACTGGATAAAAAGTGATGGTGGCCCAGGCCACTCCTAACTCAGACACCATAAAGTCATCTCGTCTAGGTCTCTGTGAGGCCCTCAAGCCAGTAGTTGCAATTCAGCTTTCTGCCTCAAAAGGCCCAGAGAAAGGAAGCAACAAGAACCAGCTCTGAGGACACTGAATTTTAAATCCATTGAAGATTTATTGAAAGCCCAAATCTAAGGATGAAAGGTCTGACCCAGTCCTACTGGGAGACCTCTGCACATGAGTCTCTCAAAGCAATGTGCAGCTGAATGTCAAATATCCTGAGCACCAGAGCTCCCTCCAGCACCTCTGGCCAGAGGCATCTTCTCAGCCTGTCGCTGTCAGGACACTCATCAAAAGCTGCCACTAGCTTTCCCTTTTTTGTCCCACCCCTATTTGCATTTAAGAGGCTGTATAATCCTCCTCCTTCCTGTTTCACTGCTTCTGCAGGCCCAGAACAGAACACAACAGGGCACTCTTGTTTCTTCTTCTGTGCTTTGAGGAAGTGCTGTCTGTTAGGTTTTGTCATTAATGGCTAACTGACAAAATACACCAGTCTGGGGAGGATCAGATGGCCAAGGACAGGTGGATTATGAACCCTGGCAGCTCAAGGATGCAAGTGCCAGCTACTGGAGGAGACTGGGGTCTGGGGTCCAGCTACAAAACAAACCAGATGTCTAAGACCAGCTACTGGAGGGACCCATACAGCGTGTGTATGTTCCACTAGTGGAGCTGGTCAGCCAGTAAGGAAGCTCAGGATGAAGCTTGAGTCTTCTCTGTATGTGTCTATTCATAAAGGCATTGATCTGCCTGTATTAATCTGTGCAGACAGCTGTGTTAGAATTGTGCATGTCTGTCTCTGAAGGAAATATAAGCTCAGTCCTGTTACTGCCTGGACCTAGGGACATGGGACCACAATCTCACACCCTGTAAGAGGAATCCACCTAGTCCCAAAATCCTCTAGATTCTCTAACACTTATCACTGTGTATCTGGAAGACAAACATTCCTGCCAACTGAAACACTGCCTCTGCACAACTCCCTCTGTATTGTCCCAGTGATTCATGAACAAGAGATTTGAAAACTTTCATATTTTAAAAAATGTAAAAACCACATGTGATGCCAGTTTATCTGACCTGACATGAAAGCAGCTTACAGACAAAGCACTATTTTGAAATCCTTTCCACAAAGACTGCTAGGCTATTCATTAAAAGGAGTAGCCAAAACCAAGACCCCCTGCAAAGCTCCATACTTCTGTGCAAAAAGAGAGAATGCTTAAATTACTGCAAGGCTGCATTGTGCAGCTCCCTGTCCTATTCCCTGCATTGCCCTCTTCTGTCTGAAACAGCAACTAATCACCTCCCATGAAACCAGTAGAGTAGGAAGTCCACTAATCTTGGTATAAAACAAGCACAGGCTGCTCACCTTGTACTCAGCTTTCGGCCTGCGCAGCTCTGGGGCATAGTTTTTAACTCCTGTGTCAGTGAGGGCTGAGAGGGAAAGGCACACATGAGCAGTGCATAAAAATCCTGATTCACATCCACTTCCAAACCCATCCCTTTCTTGGTTTTCATGGCAGAAGACCCAAACTTCAGCATCAAATGGCAATACAGCATTACTCTAAAACAGTTGTCAGCTGTACATAAGTAATTACCCCAAATCATCATGCCAATTTGTTAATTTCCTTGAGGAAAGAACGACCCACAATTTGGCTTTTAGACAGCACATGATTCAGTTTCCCTTCTTGCATCATAAGGCAGATGACACTTCCCTTTTTTTTTTTGAAATGCTTAGTTTCATGTAAATCTGCACCCCTCCCAGGATGAGGCAGGGCCCCAAAACTTACCATCTGAAAGGGACTGGAAACTTGAGAGTTTGTTTCGTCCTGAAATAAAAACACTGATGAGACACTGTCACTTCACCAGCAGCATCTCCTGCACAGGGAACATAAGCCTAGACTGCAGCCAGTTTACTGCAGCTACGCCATAGAACAAGCCTCCCTGTACAGTGATTCACACCACAGCAGCACAGCTGGGGCTCACCTCTTACATTCTAAGGTGCTGAAGTTGTCTGTGGCATTGCAAACCATACCACACTCCACCCCTATCTGCTCTCTTGGTGCTGAGGCCAGGAGAGGTTACACCTGAATTCACTCATCTACCTACAGAGCTGAGGCTCAAGCACATAGCACTGCAACATAGGCTGTGGCAACATGGACAGCTCCAGCCACCAGGGCTGCAATTTGGATGCCTTTCTTCATCACCTTATTGTCATAGCTGAGAGTAAAAAACACCCCAGAGAAAGAGAGACAAAGTAAAAGCTGCTTTCTTGTCTTGCTGTGTGAGAACAGAGCTGAACTCTTGCAAGCTGTGCATGTTTGCCCACAGCCTGCTGCACAGCTCCCCCCATAACCAGCTACGCTGCCACTGCTGCTGTCATGTGTTTGCTGAACCAACACCAACAGCAGCCAGCTGAGCTCCAAATAAAGCATAATCAATCTGTCTTCTATTCACAACTCAAAATCAAATGAGGGCTACATGGGTCAAGCCAGTCCCTTTGCAATCTGCTTCTGCCCACCAACCAAATGGATTGGCACACAGTGCTGTGCTCTACCCTGCTGTTCTCTGGAACCTGGATTTTAAGAAGCCGTAATCTCCAAAGCCCCTTCCCACTCCACAAAAGCACGTGATCACAGTGCTGATCAAGAGCACGTGGCACAGCTGCACCAGACAGTCTTCAATTTCTGACCAGAGAGCAATACACTTCCACCCTGAGGAGAGATGGGAGCCTCCCTGTTTTGCAATACACTTCAGATGAAACAATTTACATAAGATAACTCATTGCCCCTTGACAGTCTCAAGGGAAAACACATTTGTCAATGTGGCATATACCGAACCTCACCTTTGAACAGGCTGCTTAGGGAGTAGGAAGAAGCTTGTTTGGGAAGAGCAGCATAGGAGGAAGAGCCTTTCTGCAGGCTGGAGTCTCGGCCATCCAGGGAGCTAGTGCTGCCAGAGGCTGTCTCTTTGATTGACCAGGAGATACCTGTGTGCAGACAGGTCATTTTATCCCAGAAAGTCTGTAAAGAACGATCCTCTGGCATGGCAGAAACATTACCAGATGTGTGCTGGTCAGTTCTGCACTAGCACATCAAGGTAAGTCTGCCCCTCAGCACTAAGTAGACACAGTGCATCCATCTCTCCTTGCAGAATTGCAGCCTCATATAATGCTGCTTGGTAAGCAGTGGCACATTGTCCTCCAGAAATGGCTGGTTTCAGCAACATTGTACAGCTGGCTATGGCTTGTGTGAAGGAACACACAGACACTCCCACCTTTTATGTATTATTGCACGAGGCAAAGCATGGTCCTTGTAGTAAAAATACAAAGCAAGACAGAGTCCCTGGCCTAGTTCAAACTGCAGAAGCCTAAGAGCATGCTTTCCTCAACACTGAAGACTAAGATAGTTTTCCTTCCCACACAGACAAAACAGCTCTCAGTGTGCATCTGCTGCTGGCAATAATGCCTGTGTCTCCCTCCTGCCTGTTCCATACAGTTTCCCTTTGTTTTCACACAGCTGCACAACACATGTATTTTAGGATCAGGATGACAGACAAAAAATCACAATAGGTGAAGAGACCCCGGGTGGGAAAAGAAAGGAGAGGGAAGAGCTACAGCAAAGGACAAGAAGATCAGTCTCTGAAGATCCTTTGGGTGACCCATACAAAAATTTTCACGGTTTGGCACTGGCTAGCAAATGTTACAATTCTGTGGGACGTGAACTCAAAAGCACAGCACACAGGATTGTGTGTGGGCCATGAACTCACTCCCATCATCACTAGAAACACATCTGCTAAATGTTTACAGTTCCTTTTCAAATTTCAAGTGTCAGAGTCATTCTATAAGCACACATGAAACCTTGGATATCTGCGTAAAATGCTGTGGGGTCAAAACACAGAAACTTTAAATAGTGCCATTTCACAGACGGTGATGTGAAGGAAATGATCACGTAGAATCTCACAGGCCACCTGACCAAAACAAGTATCAGACCATAACCACTAAAATACCTGCTCTGAGCTTGGCTACATATTAGAAAAAACACAGTGAATTCCCTCCACTTGTCTGCACTCCTCTTTTTTAACACAATTCGTGATTCTGCTCACCCTCTTTTCAGGGGATCTGCTCAGGTACATCAAGGAGCTCACAATGTGACCTGGGAGACTTGAATCAGATTAGATATGCAGGATTGGATAGCAAATAATACTCCTGACTTAAGTGACTTGACTTAAGCAGCAATTTTAAACTCCCTCTGTCTCAAAGATATTTTGCACTACTTCTGCACTTACTTCCCACAGGTTCTCCACTCCAGCTGACCCTCTCGAGGTCGTCATCATCATCATCGACAATATCCCGAAGGCTGTTCACTGCCCGTTTGGACTCCTTCAGCTACACACAAAAGAGTGACCTTGTATAAGGACCATCAGAATTGCAGAATGCACTTCATTTCCTACTATCATCAAACATCTCCCAAAGAATTTCGAATACAGTTTCTTCAGCTTCCATTGTTTCTTCTCGGGATGGTCCTGTAGCTATGCAGCAGACACTGGGAGCCCCAAGGACACCTGCATGGACACTACCAGCTGAGCCGGCGGGAGAAGCGGTTGGTGCGCGGCCGAGGAAGCGCGTCCTCAGGAGATCTGGGACTGGCTACCATGGAGAGAGACGGGAGCCCTGGGTACCCTCCGCAGCGGGCAGGAGGTGACAATCACCGACACAACACCGACCCTCCGCGATGTGCAGGGCCGAGACCCGGGCTGGGACGGCTACGGGGGCCCACCCGGCGAGGGTGTCGGAGCGGCAGCTCCAGGGCCGGACCCTCCCTACCTGCGAGAGCTCGTCATCCTCATCGTCAAAGGTGAAGGCCCGGAACTTGGAGCTGTGCCAGTACTCCTCCTCGTCCGCCCGCACCCTGCTCATCTGCAACGGCACCGCGCGGCTGCCTCAGCACAGGGAGGGATGGAGGGAGG